AATCTTCATCATAGCTCCTGAAGAGCACACAAGGGATGTCAGATATGGAGAGTGAACTGTGCAAATTGCTCACAATCGTTATACTCGTCTGTTGAGTAAGGTTCTTCTTCAAATTCTGAAGAAAATTCCTACTGGGGTTGACGAGCAAGACAGACTGGAGCTCTGAGCCCTGCACTTGACGCAGTTCTTGCATGGTCTGTGTAGACACAATGCATCCATCCCTTAGGTATTCGAGCAAATGCATTGATGGTGTTCTGGCAAAGAGAGCGTCATACTCAGTGAGGTGGCCTGACATGAAGTCAGCAAGACACTGAAATGCGCTTCCATCGATATTGCTAATTCGATCTTGCGACATGGTGCAGATACCTTACGCCGAAGCTATCCGTACTGCACAGTACGCCAGACAAAATTGCCAAAGGTGCAAAGGAAGGGAACGGGCGTTCCCAACTTTAAGAAGGTTAAAAAGGAAAGAGAACGGGCGTTCTCAATCTGAAAGTAATAAGTAAAGGAAGGGAACGGGCGTTCCCAACTTTAAGAAAGGACGAGAACGTAAAGGAAACGTTAGAGAAAGAGAACGGGCGTTCTCAATCTCAGCTAGTAGAGCAAGAAAGAGAAACGTTAGAGAAAGAGAACGGGCGTTCTCAATCTCGACTAGTAAATCAGACAGGCAACAGTGACTTTCTTTTAACATGTCTTGGCGCCACATTTGACCGCACAAGCTTCGACCTTTGTCGGTCAAGATCAGCCCTTAATGCACAAGACACTTGGTGACCAGGCCCGGACATTTTTTTTTTTAGCGGGCGCTCTTTGCTACATCAGCAGCACAGCAGGCCGTTCTTGTGGGTCTGACAGCTACAAACTGTACAAGCCAGCAAGTTGTAACGACAAAGAAGCAACCGCTAACGCAGAGGCCCTTATTGCAGACAACTTAACACAAGGCCAGCAAGGTGAGACCAAGAAAACAAGAACCTACCGGCACCGTTGCCCAACACGCATAGCAATGCTGCGCCACGTCTGGTACAAACATTAAGCGAAGGTATGGGTAGGCCCCTCCTGGCAAGGAAGGCCGGTGTGGCACACAAACGCTGCCATTCGAGCAACGCCGGCCAGAAGTCGGATGAAGGTTTTCATCCCCTCTGCCATTGATTGCACGACGCTGTGTGAGTTCGGGCGTTCTTACATCGACTTTGGAAAATTCTATTTAAAGGCTTCTTGTGTTTGCAGCGCGCATGGAAAGTTTGTACACAGACCTCCAAGGCTACAGACTGGCATGTGCTATTGGGCTGGCTTGCAGCCTGAGCGGTGGAACTGGCCAAAAGCGAGCCGTTAAGGCAGCCGGCAGCTTCTGCAAGCAGGCTTCCTTGTTGCTGGACCTGCTCAGCTTGGTGGTGGAACCTTGAGCAAGTTGCAGAAAGCCTGTTTGCTAAGTGGGTTGCACCTGTCATTGCCCCACAAGCCGATTTTCCAGACTTCCCGGATCCGCAGAGTCCATCGGCTTCAGGTTTGCTATTTATCTGCGTGCTGCTCCCTGGTCCTGTAGGCCCATAGGCTTCAGGTTTACTTTATGCCGGGTTCTAAAACCCGACAGGCTTTAGCCCTCCCCGCTGCTCCCAAGTCCCGAGGGACCACAAGCTTCGGGTGCAGATTTAACTGCTTCCAGGTCCAGCGTCCATCGGCTTCAGGCTTGAGATTTCTCTTCCTGCTGTGCCAAATTCGAAGGTCTATTGGCTTCAGGTTTGCGATTTTGCTTTCTTAAGTTACAAGGTTCCTTCTTGCAATTTCTCTTCCTTTGGGGCTGGGCCCGCCCCCTTCGTACGAAGGGGGGCTTGAAGGGGGCCTTGAAGCCCCCCTTGAAGTGGACCTAAAGGGTCAAACGCTTGAAGGGGGCTTGAAGGGGGGGGGGTGAAGGGGGGGGGGAGGGGGGGGGGGTCGAAGGCTTGAAGGGGGGCTTGAAGGGGGGCTTGAAGGGGGGGGCGTGAAGGGGAAGGGGGGCTTCAAGGGGGGCTTCAAGGGGGGCTTCAAGGGGGGCTTCAAGGGGGGCTTCAAGGGGGGCTTCAAGGGGGGCTTGAAGGGAGGGCTTCAAGGGAAGCTTCACAGGGAGGCTTCAAGGAGGGCCTGAAGGGGAGGTTTGAGACGCGAGCCTAAACGTCGCGAAGAAGGCCCAGGTGCTCGGCCTCGTAAACTGCTCCCTGCAACCCGTGCGAAGCAAGCCCAGTTATTAGGCCGCTTGAACTGCTCCCTGGAACCTCGCGAAGAAGGCCCAGTTAGTGGGCCTCTCAAACTGCTGCCGAAACGTCGCGAAGAAGGCCCAGTTATTAGGCCTCTTAAACTGCTCCCTGAAACCCCTGCGAAGCAGGCCCAGTTATTAGGCCTCTTAAACTGCTCCCTGGAACCTCGCGAAAAAGGCCCAGTTATTAGGCCTCTTAAACTGCTCCCTGAAACCCCTGCGAAGCAGGCCCAGCTATTAGGTCTCTTAAACTGCTCCCTGGAACCTCGCGAAGAAGGCCCAGTTATTAGGCCTCTTAAACTGCTTCCTGAAACCTCTGCGAAGCAGGCCCAGTTATGAGGCCTCTTAAACTGCTCCCTGTACGGGTTTCCGGGAGCAGTTTAAGAGGCCTAGTACCTGGGCCTTCTTCGCGCCGTTTACGCCCGCGTCTCAAACCCCCCTTTCAAGCCTCCCTTGAAACCTCCCTTTGCAGCTTCCTCTGATCCCCCCTCTCTCTCTTGTATCTGTGTTTTAAAACTGGCCTCTGTTGTGGCGTGGCCTCTGGCTGTTTGGTTGTGGGGGCAAGTCCTTCCTCCCTGATTTGGCGGGAACTCGTTCGAAAAGGCGGTCCTGAGGGCTTAGGGCTGGCTTTTAGAAGGGTCAAAAGTGCCCGTAAAATGCGCGTAAAATCTTTTGGGCCATGGTGTGGCCTGGCGGGGTCGGAGTTTCTTCGATTGATTGGGTCGAGTCCGCCTGATTTCGGGCAGACTCTGGTAGAGACTGAGTTTCTACGTGCAGAGACTCGAGTCTCTACTATGTATGTTTGGAACAGGGAACCACAGGGATGTCAATTCTTCACAATTTTCATTAACGTTTGAAGGCTGTGGGAGTGTATGCTGCAACGGCCCTCATGTGACCTTCGTGCGGCTCGACTTTGTGAAACCGACGGGCGTTGAATGACACCGGTTGGTCGTGCATGTCGATCCACGAGCCTCCGCTTTTTCTCCATCCCTTCCCCTTCCGCAATGTGCTGAGGATGGGAATGTTGTGGGGCGACACAGAAAGGGCTACAAAGAAAACAACGTCAGGGGCCTGAAATAGCTCGTTGGTCCATTTGTTTCATGTCTGCCACGGAGAGCCCCGCGTCAAGAACTAGTGTTTAAGCCGTCCGGCTAGGCCAGTTGCGAAGCCGTGTTTTCTGAAAGGCTCAGATACCCTTCTACCAATTAGCCCTTCGAAATCAAAGCAACATACATGCTCTAAGTATTCAGGATGGTCTAGGTGGGATCCATTTCAAGAGTTCTCCTCAGGAGCAGCTGAAACGACTGGCAAAGCTGCAAGCCAAACACCTCCTCAGCTTCACCATCGCCTTGACCATCCGGCCTGCAACTGCACAATGTAAGCAACGTCTTGAAGCGCAAGAACACACTTTAAAGTAAGTACTCAGCAGCACCTTCGCGGGACTCTTTTTCCGTTGGCTTTCGTGGTCAGTCGGGCATAGGTTTCAGAGCTTCCACCAGTTCTGTCCATTTGCTGACAGCTTGCTTGAGCAAATCTGCTTGTTGCCAGATCCCAAGCTTCTTGCACAAATCCTTGAAGTGACTCTCTTCAAAGGTCACCAGTGCGTGAGCCTTTGCGAGCTCGTCTTTAGATGTTATCGAGTCAAGCTGTGGCTTGCTCCGCCAGGCGCTCAGCCTTCGTGTGAGTCCTTCTCTAAGCTTGGTCTCCTCGCTCGGAAGCTCGTTGAGTCTTTGTTCCAGGTTCTCTTTGGAAAGTGGGTTTTTTGGATCGCTGAGACTTAGAACTGTCTCTTCGCTTGTGATGCGGTTGATGTTACCGGCCATTGGCTTTCTTGAAAAGTCAAAGAATGCTTCTGCAAGTACCACCCAGTACAGTTTGATCCTTTTTGGAGGGTTGCTCATGTTGGCTAGGGCGTCATTCATCTTGTCCGACTTGAACGTGTGGCTTTTGCCTGTTGTTATCTGAAAGGCATGCAAGGTCCCATTCTTATCGAGAAAGCCTGCGTCGATGACTGCCGTTTCCTTTTTGGCTGTGCAGTAAGTGTTCGGTTGGTTCGCAGCTGTATTGAGGAGCTCGAGTAGCCCTCCGTTGACCCTTTAAACATGTGTGAGTGAGTGAGAGAGAGAGAGAGAGAGAGAGAGAGAGAGAGAGAGAGAGAGAGAGAGAGAGAGAGAGAGAGAGAGAGAGAGAGAGAGAGAGAGAGAGACACACACACACACACACATATATATATATATATGTATATATATATATATAGATATATACATATATATAGATATATATATATATATAGATATATATATATATATAGATATAGATATCGTCAAGACCAGAGCTCTCGCATGCAACACTTCTTTTGCTCGAAAAAGTCCGGAAGCATCTTCTTGAGCGGATCGCCGGGCTTCTCGAAGAACAGCCGCAGTGGACCGGTCCGCTCCAACATTAGCTCAGCGAGCCCCGTTTCGCTGAAGTAAATGCTGGGAATCTCGAGATTGGGGGTATCAAGACGGACCTCGGTGGTGTAGAAGACGGGCAGGGCTCCAAGAACGTCCGGGTGGTTTTGGAAGACAGCCAGCGCATCCTCTGCTTTCTTTGTAACGCTGGGCCAGCTTGGGACATATTCGCTGACACATTTCGTCTGGATGCCAAGAACGAGGAGAGAAGCTGCCTCTGTCTTATTGCACTCCGACTTCAAGTCACGAATTTTCCTTCGGTCGTCGGGACCCGGGACCATCCACGGGATCAGGTACTCGATGCCCGGCTCGTTGCGCAGCTAGGACACGACGATCTTACCGCTTTTGAGGGACTGCAGGACTTCCTCTACACATACGAAAGACTTGACATACTCCAACGGTGCAAGAGCATTCTGCATGGAGGTGACGACGACGTTCTGCAAACCACTTGTTGTTGGTCGAAAGCTCGCCCCATGGAACAGCTGTTCGAGTGTGCATTTGCTCTTGCCCAACGCCAGGCGCACAGCACAGTCGAAGTGGACCATGATGTCCTCAAACTTCTTCTCGTTTGTGTCCTCCATGACCGCATCCTGCTCGAACATCTCGATGATCTGGCCTGCGAGACTGGTTCCGTCACTCCGTGCCCAAAGTTGCAGCATTACGGGATGAAGGATGTTGATGAAGCTGTTGCCACATCGCACGGAATGAACAATACCACGCAGACGGAGGTCTTCAAGCACTGATCGAGTTGTGGAAGCGAGAGGAGACCACCAGTGAATCACCTCGACGCTGTCCAAGACTTTTCGGTCTCCGAGCTTGGCATGAGTTACAATGGCAAGCTGAAGTTGATTCCATGCAAGTGGATTCCGAGGAGGCTTCTTGAGCTTGGAGTACTCCTTTCTCAAAGCATCGAACATCAGCCGCGGATGACCCAGCAGCTGTCGCACGAGTTGACGTCCGGATGGTTCTTTGTCCAGTTCTTCGCGAAGCTCCTCGGGCAGCAGCTGCAAAGCCTCTGCAAGTGGCAAACCCCTCAACGAGATCGGCAGCAGCACATAGCGCTCGGAGTCGCTCATCAGCGTTGACATGTAGCTCTCAAGCAGCGATGTCCACACGAAGATTACCGGGCAGTTGCTTGTTTGGAGGAGGGACTCGTCCTGGGCTCCCATGAGGTTGGATACTAGTTGCACAGCCCTGTCTTTGCCAGCAAGGGTCTCGAACTGCCGAATCTCATCGATGCCTACCAGCAGAAGGTCGTCGGCGCCCAAATTCAGCTTCTCTCGCAAACACTGCATCACCTGCTTGAATGAAAGAACGGCCGCGCAGTTTTCTGCTTTCTCCGCAGGCATGCCTGACTGCTGAAGGAGTAGCTTTGAAAACACTTCGGTTGCAGCTTTGCTGTTGTCCCAATAGCTCCCCCCATTGAAGTCCACTGTCAGAGCCGCCTTCGCCCCGGTTTCGTCCCGCCAGGTCGTGCACATCTCGTGAAGTACTCGAGTTTTGCCTGTGCCCTTTATTCCGGCCGTCGTCAGGATTGCACACTTGTTTATGCTTGACCCGGACTCCCAGTAGTAGTCATCCTGTGACAAGGACCCCCGGATGTACTCCAGGATTTGATGTTTGGCCTCCTCGCGCGCGATGAGCCGTGGCATCATCGCACTGGGAGAGCGCACAGTCCAGCTTGGGCAAAGGATGTCCTGCAGTTGGGCTACTGGAGGTTGGCTCGGACTCGACTGTCTTCAATGGGTGGGGCTTACTGGGGACTTTGCCGGAGTTGACTTCGGATAGTCCTGGATGGCCTTTTGTGCATCAGGCACCTGCAGGCTGGGACATTTGGTCAGCTCACCGCATAAGCCCGTCTTTACACCTCGAAGACCCCGCCCGACCTGGACTAATCAGGAAACCGACCGTGGGGCTCGCCGTGCCCGACCCCAACAGCACCAACACCCGGTAAATAAAGAGGTGCAACCAGATTTTGCCTGAAACCTGAAGCTGCCAAGAGCCCTCTGCTCCGAAAGACGCTCCCGCTCCCCGAACTGCTGCAAGCTAACACAGTGGAGACAGCTTAACCACAAGGAGATCTTGAGAGGAAAGCAGCACCCCAAGAAGCAAGCACGAAAAACCCACGACGACCAAGAGCCCCGGACATGCAGGAGTGCTACAAACCAAAGGCAACATGCCCAAGCAGAAGCCCCCTGCACTCGTCTTGCCGGAACCCCACCGCTCGGCAAGGTCCACGTGCCAAAAGCACTAAAAACCCAGGTCCCTTGACTCCCCCTCACGGACTAACCTGAAAGTCGAGCCTCAAACAAAAACAACCGCAACCTGGAGAGCGAGCGCAAAGCGAGCGCAAAACAGGCTGACCCCCCCACCTCGAGCCTAGGACTGACACCCCGTTCTGAAGCATCGGCAAAACACGAGGAGCAACCAGAATTGCATGAACCTAAAGCAGACAAGAGCCCCTCCCACTCCCCGAAGTGCTGCAAGCTAACACAGTGAAGCTTAACGACGAGGGTATCCGAGCTGAGAGGAGAGCATGATCCCAAAAAGCAACAACGGTGGACCGCACGAAATGCACTCTCCCTTGGCGCCGGCCTCGGCTGTCGGCAAGGACACGGCAGCGATGCGTTCGGCCAGGACTTTGCGCGGCCCCATGCGAATGTTCATGTCTTGCATGTCGTTCAAAGTCAACTTCAAAAGCGCCTTGCCCATGATATCCTCGCTGTTGATAATATTTGTAATATTCTGTACCGTCTCCTTGCCGCAGTTCGCCTCTTCCAAGACCGCTCTGGCCCAATAACCGACCTGCTCATCCACACTGACTCGAAGCACTTTTGCAAAAGAGACATCGCAAGCCGCACCTCCTCAGATGTAAACAAGTCGATCTCGCCAGCTGTCTTTTTTAGCCACTCGGCCTGCAGCAAGCGGCACACAAATGCTAGTGTCAGCGAGCCTTCGCAGAGCCCGCCTGATCGAAGCTTGCTTTGGCCTGCAGGAGCCACACATAACTACGAAGCCCTCACCAGCAAGAACATGCTCCTTGAAAGTGCCTCGGCCGTCGCCTCTTCCACGGAATCGTTTTCTTTGGGGGCCTCCCAACATGGACTGATCCCGAGAAGACCTATATACATGTGCTGCTGGCAGGACCGTTTCATGCAAGCATGAAACCCTCGCAATCGATCCCTCAAGCTCCTCGAAATTCGCCTGATGCTCCCGTCGAGCAGCTTTCGATGCGAAATCTGAACACACGCCGAAAGGACAAGCAAACCTCGTCTTCACGAGATTGCAGAGGCCCTTGCTCAGAAAATGAACACACTCGGGCAGGAGCGAAGGAAACGCCGTCAGAACAGCACAAGGAACGCCACGCCGAAACGACAAACCCTTTTCGCCTTTACGTCTTCACTGTCTTCGGCCTCACCACGGCCAGCCTCAGCTCTTCAGGACATGAGCTTAACACAGAATTTCCTCTCGGTCTCGGCTTCCCGCCTTGGCCCTGCGTGCGACGCGAAAGTTGTGTGCCCATATTCCCGCAGGAACCGACCTCGCTCTGGCTTGCGCATCTTCGGCACTCCATGCCATACATCACATCCCACCTCGAAAACGGCACGGCCCCCGCTCCAAGCAAAGCCCGCGCCGTCTGCGTTGCTCGCCTGAAGCTACGCGGGAACACATCTAACAGTGTTCAAGGCGCTGGTCTTAGGCTCTGGCAGACACACCAAGACGAGCGCCAGTAGCACCACCACGCGCCCGACCTTGCGCGATGTTGCTGGAGGCCGGCTCATGGCGGCAATCGTCCTAGCTGTCCTCTGGCTCGAGCAAAAGCACTGCAATCTGCATGAACGAATGGTCGAGCTCAGTCACGGGCCAAGTGTTTAGTTAACCAACTGCAATTCAACATGCGAAGCAGTTGCAAGTGTGCACAGGCAACTGCTGCAAGATGCCTCGGTCGGGGTTCTCAGCAGGGATCGGGCCTTGCGGCGGCACACTAAGCCCATGAAATGTGAAACTTGCAAAGGCCCGTGAAATGTGAAACCCTGGCCCCAGTCTCAGGGTGGGAGGGCCTGGTGGGGTGGGAGGGCTTGGTGGTCCGTGAATTTGGAGCGCCCTGGCCGGCGCCCCGTGACCCTGTGACCGGTCACCCCTGACCCCGTGACCCCGTGACCTCTCTGTGGCCCCGCGTGTCACCGTGACCCCGTGACCCATGACCCTCGCGACCCGGGTGGCCCGCGTGGCCCCGTGACCCCGCGACCTCTACGCCGTGACCCGTGACCTCCGTGACCGTGACCCCCCATGCCCTCCCGTAATCCCGTGACCCTGTGACCCCTTGCCCCCCCTCCCCCGATGCACCGGCGCTCATACAGGGCAAGGGGAGGGCAGCACAGGGCACTCCTGGGCGCACACTGACCAGACTTCGCTGCCTCCGAGCCCCGTGCCTACCAACTTAATGACATCAGACCTCGCTGCCTCAGAGCCCCTTGCCTGCCAACCTCAACCCTAAACCCCGAACCTCTGTGGCACCCGGCGTCCCTCCCTCCCCCGGTGTCAGGGCTGTGTGTGCGTGTGTGTTTGTTGCCTTCCTAACATGTGGTAGCTGTCTCTCTGCTGTAAGTTTGAAAGATGCATCGTTGGCCATGCAAAGCCTGCTGTTGCCTGCTGCTATATTGACGCTTTGAGGAAGCGAGCGCGGCCCAAGCACTCTAAAATCCGACATGCCAAAAACATGCGAAAATCAAGCAAGTATGCAAAAATCAAAAGGCAGAGTTTTTAGGGTTTAGGGCAGGGTGTAAGGGGAATGTTTGTTTAAGCCTGCTCGCCACAGAGCAGTGAACTAGGCCTGCTCGCCGCAGAGCAGTGACTTATCAAGGCCGTCCAGCAAAGCATACAGAAAAATCCACGCCAAAAACTCATGCAAAAGGGAAAAATTGCCATTTAAGGTTTCGAACCTGTACACAAGACTTGAGCCAAAACTGTACAAGCCGCCGTACAAGAAGACAAGACTCGACCGGCGAAGGGGGGCCCGCTCGGGCGACGACCTTTTTTCCGGCCGGGGTTTTCAAAAGTCATGAGCTGGGCTCAACAACGAGAAGCGATCAGAATTGCAGCCGAGGCCGGGGTCAGGGCGAGGACCTCGGCGGCAGGCTCAGAAACCCTTCCTTTGACACCACCACCTTCGCTACGCGATGCTCAGCCGCCCGAACGGCGAGCTCACGAGGGCCGGCCAGTACTACTACCAACTGATCGACCGGCCGCCCCCCAGCCGGCAGTACGACCGCAACCAACCCCTCAACAGTACCGCAACCAAAGGGGGCCCGCCGCCCTGGGGCGGCGGGCCCCCCCCAAAAACGTGGCCCTGCAAATAAGTTCTCGGAGTTTAAAGCCGTTGAAGGGCCTCTAAGGGTTTAGGATGCAGGTCAAAGCCGTTGAAGTGCCTGTAAGCGTTTAGGGTTCCCTCACAAACACTACCGAACCCTGCAGTGCACCTTTTTCACGGGCCATGGGCTTCCGCGTGAGAATTCGGCAAAAGAGAGAGAGGGTTGTCGTACTGAAACTGCTATACAGGGACATGCTGTACATGTGACACTCATGCTGGGGATCTACGATAGACAGCGATTCTGTATGGAAAAGTTGGCTGCTTCGTGTTCTGCATATGCACATGGGTACGGGACGCTTGCGTTCGGGGCAGCGATTCTACATGGAAAAGTTGGCTGCTCCATGCACCACGCACTGGACATATGGCGGCGGGCCCCTGGAGGTAGGGTGCTAACGATGACATGCCCTGGGGGCGGCGGGCCCCTTCCGCAAAGGCCCCACAGACTACATCCTCCTCCGCTCAGGCCTCAAGAAGTGCGTGCGCTCTCCGCGAGGGCCCGAACGATTACATCATGCTCCGGGGGGGCGCCAAAAAAGCTGCTCCGCAGCCTCCAGCCCAACGGGAACTACCACTTGACCAAGCTCGGGAAGAGCTTCTTCAAGGACAAGTGGGTGGACTGGGTGGTGCACGTGCCCGTCATCATCCGCGGCATCCGGCGAAACGGCCGGAACCGCGGCATGCCGTACGAGCGCACGAAGCGCCTGCCCGTCACGGACCTCAACGTCACACTGCCCCGGCAGAGCGAGGGGCTCTCGGATGCCCGGAACCTCAAGGCGTCCGCGCTCGCGCAGCTCGGGAACCCCGAGCCGAACGACATTATTTGTGGGAGCTGTCCGACGAGACCTACTACCTGGACGCAACGAGGGAGTGGACCTTCAGCCAGCAGGCCATGCAGGTCGTAGACGACCGGGTGGTGGTGGAGACCGTCCTGGATCAGCCCCTGGGGCTCTGCGGGACGTCTCCTACCAGCTGTACTGCGGCGACGAAATCCTAGAGTCCGCCTTCGAACAGCGGCCGGACAAGCTTTGCGTCCCTCGGCAGCTCGCGGAGTTGATGCGGCTGCCGCTGCAGGAGGTGCTTTCGGACTTCGACGCAATCTGCACCAAAAGAACGTGGCGGGAGCCCCCCTCGTCCCAATCCTCCCACCAGCACTGCTCCCGGTCCGTATTCACGCCCAGCTCGTCTCGGATGTAATCCTTGACAGGCTGCCAGGCAGAGTCGACCTCCACCGAGGGCGAGAAGATATAGATGCGCTCGAAGCAGCCCCGGTATTGCTCCAAAATCATGCTCACAAGGAGTACCGTCTTTCCGCTTGCAGATGGAGCACACAAAATACCGTTGGCGGGGGGCTTGCAAACCACGGGGTCAGGCGGCTGCTTGACGGAGTACTCAGGCGTCTTGAAGAGACGCACCTTGCCCATTTAACCCAAGTGTTGCGCTCGCGGCGATCTCGTCGCACAGCGCAGGCGGGATGGAGTAGAGCTGGTCCCGCGAGTTGCTCCCCTGCCGCCCCTTGGTGGCGCGGCCTCTGGGTGACGAGTTCCTTGGAAGGCCTCGCAGCGGTCGCCCTTGCGGCAGGGCCCCTGGGAGGGGGCCCAGGGCAAGTTGTGCCAGATGGCCGTGGGCTTCTTGTAGCGGAAGCCGTACTTGCAGTACGTGACCCTGTCCATGTGCAGCCCTTGCATGTAGGGGCGGGTTTTGAGGCGCCGGGTTTTCGATGGCCCACCACCGAGGCTTGAGGTAGTCTATGACCTCCAGGGTCTTGAGCACCAGGGCGTCCCCGACCGGCAGGTTGCGGGGGCGCTTCTTGAGTGCGATGCTGAACTCGGTGCAGCAGGGCGAGGCCCACACTGCGTCGAAGTGCCCGGGCTCGAAGGCCTTGTAGTCCCATTGCAGGATGTCGGAGCAGATGGTTGGGCTGGCTTTTGGGTTGCTGTCAAGACTCGTTACCTCCCAGCCACGGGCCTCGAAGGCACGTCCGACCGACCCCGTGCCGCTGAAGAGTTCCAGGAGTCTCATTTGTTGAAGGAAAAGAAAAGACCCACAGGACCAGCAAGCACGCCAGCAGGGCCACCACGCACTCCGCGGTGGAGACGGTGGCCGGCATTTTTTTTCTTGTCGTGAAAAAAGAAGGAGCGATGGAGCCCAAAACGGTACTCAAGCTCGGTGAGCTTACGACCAACCAGCGTGGCGGCAAGTTCTTCCCGGTGTGCGCGGAGGCCTGGCGGTCCCGCGAGTGGCTGCGCATCTTGTGGCACCCCAGCCCCTACGGCAGCGAGACGGAAGCAGCGTCCCAGAAGTGGACTCGGGACAAATCGACCTTGAGCTTGATGAAGCTGTTCCCGCGGGAGGAGGTCTTGAGGCAGGACACGAAGCGACCCTCCACGTCCGACGCGGTGAGGTAGCGGCCGAAGATTTTAGAGTCGTGGAGGCATCGCTGGGTCAGCTGGCCCTTGATGTCCTTCTCGATCGCCTGCAGGTCTGCCTTGGCGGCCTCGTTCTGCTCGAGACACAGGGGGAGTCGCCGGGGCCGGTCGGGAATGCAAGGTGCGCGCAGATTTGCGCCAGGTGTGGCTCATGCCGGGCCAGTGCGGGCTTCTGATGGAAGTGACGGACCTGCAGCTGAGAGAGGCCGAAGCCCCGGCCTTTCAGTGTCCGTTCAGAGCACGCTCAGGAGCTCGCTGCTGGTGGCCCTGCTGCTCCCCACATAGAGGTGCTTGAGGGTGAAGTGCGGGCTCTCGGTGTCGCACAGGAAGACCCGCCCTTCGAGCGTCAGGCCTTGACACGAGGCGTAGGTGATGGCGTGGCACAGCCGGGTGTGTTTCAGGAGGGCGGCGTGGGTGAAGGAGTCGCCGCCGTCCAAGACGATCTTCTCGGGGCCCACTTCTGCCACATGCACGTAGATGCCTTTGGTCACGCGGCCGCCGACGCCGATGAGCTTCAGGCCGGGCCAGACCCGCATGGTCTGCGGCATGTTGGTGGTCGTCGGGCCGGTGCCGGTGTCTCGATCGTCACAGCTTCCGGCGGGGCCAGGCGACGGTTGTCCCGCGCGTTGATCCTGATGCGGTGGGAGGGACTGCTCCCGGGGCTCGTCGACCCGGAGCCACCGGAGGAAGTCGAAGATGCCCGGGTCGCTCCTCCTGTTCTCGGTGAGCTCGTGGTGCCAGCCGTCGGTGAGGTCGTAGACCTTCAGATAAGACGCCGGGAAAGTCTCAGGCAAATGAAGAAGGGTGTCTGCGATTTGTATCAACGCGTCCGAATCCTGCAGCTGGTGCGGTAAGCCATTTAACAACTCTTCATAGGTCCTATATGCACGAAGCTGCTGGCAATGTGTCGTGAGATGATTCGAGTCACGCAGGCTCATGTAGGGCCTAGGCTTGACATTCTTCCCAAAGTGATGTCCTGCTTGGAGTGCGCGCCACATGAGCCCACAGACCGATGTTGTTTTGCCCTGCATTGGGGGTGTATTGGCCGGGGTTCTGGGATCGCGAGTGCTGCCTTGGCCCTCTCGGCTTGGATTTTGGCGGTTCCAGCGGCTCCTGAGAACCGTCGTGATCCTTGCGGACATGGGCAATGGGCACCTGCCGAGCGGGAGGCACAGGGAGATCTGCGATGGGCTCTGCTGGTCCAGGTGGGTCCTTCGAGGGCTTGGCGCAAGGGGACCGAGATGCATCGACGTCCGGGCCGGGTTCTGGGGCTAGGAGGACGACGTACTCCCGGTGGTGGGTCCCTAATGTTGCCGCTACGGCGGGGAGGGGCCGATGGGGTACCGCCTCCTCCCAACGTCAGATCGCCTCCATCGACAGGAGTCGTCACACTAGTTTCCACAGCGGTGGAACAAGCGGCCAACTGAGGGTCCGCGCTAGTTGCCTGCGTGTCAGGGTTCCGGCACACCAGCTCCCTGGCCCTCTGGGAGTGCCACAAGGGGTGCGGGACACATCACGACAAGGATGCGGCGGCGGGCTGACCGCAGCAGCAACAGAGCCCCGGGTACTACCCGCGGGGGCTGTTTCCCGGAGAGTCCACATCAATCGCAGTGTCAGAATCAAACTTGCCCGTTCGAACGGGCAGGAGGCGAAGGCCTTGGGGGGCTTGCTGGATCCCGGCCTTATGCTCAAAAGCCGGGTCCGTGTGCCGAGCAGGTCCGCGTTTGGGCGCCATCCTAATTTTCGTATCCCCTAGCAAATAGGTGAGGTATTTAGCCACCCCGTCCCCTTCCCGCACCGGTTGAAAGGGGACACAGTACACTGCATTGGGCAAGGGCTCCAGGACGAAGCCACGCGCTTGCAGACTGGCAATCGTGCCAGAGTAGGAGTTGGACGTGTAGGAGGGAGGTTCCCAGCCTTCGGTCCGTTCGGTAAAGGACCTCGCGCGTCTCTCCCCAAGTAGCCTTCAGTGCCCACGCCTGGTCCAGGGGTGGCGTACCGAAGAGGTCCAGCCCAACCTTGCGCTCCACGGGCAACACAATGCTTGCCACCTTCCGTTCCCTGAAGGCTTGCTTGTGTGATTCCATTGCAATGCCAGGGCCATCCATGCTCCACAGGCTGGCTTGTGTGCGCAGGTAGTCGGAGCAATCAAGGAGTCCCCCCGTGGCACAGGCCGCCATTTGGAAGCATGCGCCTATTCCATCGGAGTAATGCGGTGCAACAAAGACCAGCGGCCCCAACCCCCTAGTGAAGGTGTGACGAAAACACAGACACCATGAGTGGGGCCAGTGGAGCAGGCGGTGGTAATAGCGCTGAAGAAGCGTTTCAGAGCCGCAATGTGTTTCATCAGGAAGGTTCTAAATGCTACAAGACTCCATGTGTTAGGCGGACCAGTCAACGGGAAGTCCTCCGCGGTTTGACATGCCTCCATGAGGCTCATGTGGTCTCCTCCTAGCTGCTCCGCCGGGACACTTTTTTGCAGCATGAACTTCATTTGGACCACAATTTTGGCATACTGGGAGACCAACCCAATGGGCGACCCCGGGTACACCTGGTGCCCAAAGGTAAGCACAATGTCCGCCAGCACCCTGCTGAGGTCATAGCTGTTGCCTAACTTGGTTTGGGTCTCATCCTGGGCAGGCACCCGTACCCATCTACAGGTCTCCATCCACCTGCCAGCAGGGCTACGCAGAGGCCGCCCGAGCAGATGCTGCACCGTGGGACCTGGCGGCATGCGAAGGTAGGGAGCTCGGCCTATCAGCTCGAAAAGACAGGCCTCCGAATACCGACATGCATACAGGATGGCAGCAATCTCTGAGGGCAGGCGCATGGAGGAACAGAGCGAGAGATTGACGGCCGGTCCGACAATGGCCTTGAGCCCGGCGGCCTGCATGACTGTCTCTGCTTGTTTCGGCTTGACGATACTCATGCAAAGGATCGACTCTAGCATGGAAACCGGTGAGAATAAGACATCGGAAAAGCCCGAGCCCAAGTTTGGCTTGCCCCAAGAGGGCATCTCGCATTGTCCCTTTTTCCACGGTCCTGCATTTTTGGCCGTTTGTCTGAGCAATGCCGCGGGCAAGGTGGCCGGCGTATAAAGGTCCGCAGGGACCGCATTGAGGCCACAAGTCTTTTGCTCCAACAGTTCAGTGACATAGTGGTAGTTGGGTCGGGACCCTCCTGCGGGCTGTCTGTGATCACCGATCATGACGTCAAGTGCATGCTTGATGTGCGTCAGAATGGTATTGGAGCCTGGTGTGCCCAGTTGCTGTGCTTCATCTCGGAGCAGCAGCTCCACATCCTTTAAGCGATTCATGAGCAACGAGTAAGGGAAGCTGAGCCGTGCCACGATCGTTCCGTGTGTCGTGGCTACAAGTAGCCCCCGATACACATCATGCGCGTCAAAGGGGAGCTTGTAAGTATCCTTCTCCTTGTTGCCCGGTATGCGAGTGATGCGATTGCGAACAAAGTCATTGCTGGCTGACGTTAACCTATCCACCGTCTCGACATAGGCCCGGACCGACTCGTTGCCATGAGCAGTGTACAGGGTAAGTCGACTCGTCAGGCAAGCAACAAGCACTCCGAGAAACGCAGATGAGCGCGTTTTGCCACTGCCAGGCGCTCCAGTAATGAATACGGAAGTGCGATTGGCAGCCAAACCGTAGGAGCAAGCTCCCAGCAGCGCCGCCAGATGGCCATCAGCTCCCCAAAAGGTGTCGCAGAGACACGCCAGGAAGGTGGGGCCCACCGCGAGCGCAAAAATACTTGCTCGGTTCCGCGGGTCGTGTTCATTGCTCAACGAATCAGGGGGCAGGCGCAGACACTCCGCATGCCACAGCGCAGGAGTCCGGGCGTCCTCTTGGCTGGGCAGCGGAGCATCTGGTAGCGTCGCTAACACGCCGGTCAGTAACTGCGGAGTCCATTCCTTGCCATAAGTTTGCTCCTCAGCGAGCCAAATTGTGGGATTCGTGGACCCTGGGCCTCCGGCTGGCGATGCTTGGTCAGTTTGCGTTTCATGCTTACCCCTGAAAACTTGGCAAACCTCCGAATGAATCCACTGGGCCCATAAATCGTGCCAATGCCCTTTAACAACCAATCCGATGATTAGAACAAGCACGAGGTCCGTGAGAAAACCCGGTAGCCAGTGTGGCTGCCGAATGGCATCAAGAGGTGAGTCTTCCATCGGAATTCCTAATGCGACATGCTGCCGCTCCTTGAGCATGTGCAGCAGTGCATCCCAAAGCGGGGTGGAAGCTCCACCGGGCAGCACCTCGAGCTGGCTAACTCTTGGTAGTGTGTGTTGGTTCGCGAAATGGCTGTGCTGCTCATCTGTCAGGAGCAGGGCAATGGTGAGATTGACTGGCTGCATTGCTTTGCTCTCGCCCGGGCCAGTGCGGAGCTTTTTAGGGGATAGGAGCTCAATGAACACACCGGGGTATGCCACATCCCCACCACCCTCTTGCAAGGTAACCAGCAAGGCAGTACCTTTGGCGGGGACTTTGCCAGCAACCGCAAACCACAGTCTACTCCATTCAGGGACATCAATTAGCTCAGGTGTGAGAAGGATGACTGACGCCTTTGGACAGACTCGGTGAAGCAGGCAGATCGGCCAGGTATGAGTGCCTGGCTTGACCGCCACAGGTGTGCCGGCACGCTTTACTGCTGCTTGCTCTGGGTAATGGTATTGCTCCGAAGGCTCCTCCTCAATTTCTGCCTCAGAGGCCATGGCTAAGAACTGGTAGCCCAACATGTCAACTAGGCGCTCAAGTGGCAGGAGGGGGAGCCACATGTCCAGCACAAGTTTCATCGTGGGGCCCAGCTCATGATACGGTAGTGGCAGGTCCGTCAGGTGCGGCTTTGCTTCTGCCAAGAGGACTTTGATGCATTCACTTCGTAGGTCTGCGATACCCCGATTCGAGGCAGGGGGCAGCCGGAGAAATTTCTCCAGGTCGGGGCGAGTTATCAGTCGTCCTAGTGCGGATTTGACGAATGCTTGGGAATCTTCCGGCAGCTGGACAGAGCCGCAGGCGACACCCATTAAAGATGCTCGGACTGCGCGATCAAGCCGAGGGTCAGCCAAGCCGCAAATCTTTCGAGTAAGGTCTTTATGCACATATTCCCCCGGCGTAAGCTGGAAGAGCTCCTCACTTTCGACAAAGTGGCCATAAGAGTGCCCACCATTGCCGAGTGCATCAGACCCGGAGAAATAGTATAGGCGTGCTCCCTCGCGGATCGCTTGCTCTCTTGCTTCCAAACTGGGCCGGAAGATGCAGAGCTGGTCGCTCTCATGGTGAACAAGGCTAACAGCATGCCGCAATTCCGAGGTAAGAATATAGCGCAACATGGCTCGTGGCATGGCTATTCCGCCCAAGCGTGCATCGATGGGGACAAAGTCACCCTTGCATTGGGGAAGTTGTTGACGCTCGTGCCAAGCAATAACCGCAGCTGCGCCCGTATAGGAACCAGCTGAGAATCCAGCGACGCGCAATTTGCATTCACCTGCTCTACCCGCGGCGCAAAGCCGTTAACGCAGCAGTGTGTGGCATGT